GCGTCATCTCAGCAATACAGGCTTCCTCACTCCCTTCTGTTTCTGTCTCTGTCTCTGTCTCTCTCTCTCTTCCCCCCATACCATCTCACCCTCTAACGTCTTCCCATGTGAGGTGGGCTTCTCACAGCATGATGGCCTCAGAGTACTGGACGTTTTACATGGTGCCTAATCCCGCAGCCAGAACGTTCTCCCTGTCATCCATCCTCAGCCGTCCCAGGATACCGTCACTACCTCATTTTATTGGTAAAGCAAATCACTAAGGCCAGCCCAGACCCAACGGTTTGGGAGCAACAGACTTCACCTCTCAATGGAGCAATGTCACACACACAGGCAGGAAAAAATAATGATGGGAGAATCTTGGAACAAGCTACCACATTGACCTTGTACACTGGGCTCTTATTAAATTCATTTATTAGTTCTAGTTGTTTTTGTAGACTCCACACTTTTTTGATGTTCCCACTCCAGTCAACTGCTCATAGCAAGAGTTTTACTTCCTTATTTTCTCCCTGCGCACCTTGTCTGTCTCTCTCTCACCTGGGTGCACTGGCCAGGACAATCAGAATGGCACTGAGTGGAAGTGGCAAGAACAACCACACCACCGCCTCGACCCTGACCTTAGCAGGAACATGGCCGTCAGTGCGGCCATCCAAGGTTGACGCCACCAGACAGAAAGCCTCGCGATTGTAAGAACCACGCCAGTTTGGTCCATCCTATATCCCACCATCTAGCCCAGTGCCATGTGCACAGTGGACATTCAAAACATATTTGTTGAATAAACGATCGTGACATGAATTTAGTCTGAGCTTGAATAATACTTGCAATGGTTGAATTCATGTGTCAACTTGACGAGGCCACAGTGTGCCCAGATAATGGGTTAAACATTTCTGAGTGTGTGTATGTGTGTGTGAGAGGGGGTTTCCAGATGAGACTCGCATTTGAATCAGCAGACTGAGTGAGGTCCAGGCTCTCCCCAGGGTGGCTCAGCGACACAGGGTCCCTCGAAGGCCTAAAGGACAAAAAGGCAGGGGAGGGAAAACTTGCCCTCTCTGCCTGAATGCTGAGCAGGGGGTGTCCATCCTCTCCTGCCACTGAACTGGCATTCCCCCACCAGTGGCCCTGGTTCTCAGGCCTTCAGATTCAGACGAGCACCGACATCCCCTTTCTCCAGGTCTCTAGATGCACAAGGCAGACTGTGGAATTTCCCAGGCTACAAAATCATGTGAGTCCATTCTTTATAATAAATTTCTTTATGTACGGGAGTCCCAGTGCAAACTCAGTCCATGGAGAAGCCCACTGGCTCACCATGCTCTGGGCTCTTCCACTGAGAGAGGAGAAGACTTTATTTCCTCTCCTTGTTTAAGGGTGTGTGTGCTATATAGGCACAGCTTACCTAGTATTTAATAATAGTAGTAGTAACAGGAATGAAATACCCACAGCACCGGCCCATCTTAAGAAATCGGGCCTCGTCTGAAACTCCCTGCGTGCCGCTCTGTGACCTCAGCCCCTCCTCCCAGAAGGAACCACCAGTCTAAAATTTGTGTTTCTTATTATCTTCTTTTATTTTTTAACCCATGTCTAGATGGGTCCCCTCCATGTTCGAGTAGCCTTGCATGTCATCGAACTTTCCATTTCAAAAACCACACTGCCATCATTCACTCTGTATCCAACCTACTGTCATCAGCTGTCTCTCCTCCTGGCGGGCGCCCGCGTCACTGGTGTAGCTAGCTGCAGCTGCTCATCTGCACTGTGGACGCCACAGCCTCATCTGTTAACTTTGCTGCTTGTGGACATCTGGGTTGTTGTGGTTTTCTGCTGTTACAAGCAATGTGGCCATGCACACGGCTGGCAGTCTCCTGCTCCACATGAGCAAGTGGTCCTCTTAGTATATGCCCAGGAATAAAATTGCTGAGTCACAAGGCAGGTTCTCCTGGCTTACCAGTGGCACGAACTTATCTCCAAAGGGGTCGTTCCACTTCATCTGCCACCAGCCTGGCCAAAGCGGTCCCCCGCTGACAGCTCTCCGTTGGCGACGAGGATGTGAAACTGTATTTCACTGCAGTGCAATCTTCACTTTGCATGTCTTTTTGATTTATTTTGTATTAATAGATATTTGTCTAGGTATTCTTCCATTTCTTAAGATTTCAAGAAAGATAAATTTAAAAAAAACCCAAACTTTGCTGTTATATGAAAAGAAAGTAAGATCTAACCTGGTGTGGTGGCTCACACCTGTAATCCCAGCACTCTTTGGAGGCAGAGGTGGGAGGGTTGCTTGAGCTCAGGAATTTGAGACCAGCCTGAGCAACAGTAAGACCCCATCTCTATTAAAAATAGAAAATTTAGCCAGGCATGGTGGCACATGCCTGAAGTCCCTGCTACTCAGGAGGCTGAGGGAGGAAGATCACTTGAGCCCAGGAGTTTGAGGCTGCAGTGAGCTATGATGACACCACTACACTCTAGCCGGGGCAACAGAGAAAGATCCTGTCTCAAAAAAAAAAGTCAACAGAGAGATAAATAATAAAAATATCTAAAATGATTACCAATATTAAAAATTGAACAGCAGACAGAACTAGAAAGATAATGTAAATTTAAAAATTACTAAGAAAATAATACACTAACTCCACATCCACATAGCTGATGATGACTAGGGCTGGGCATTCTCAGGGGTTCACTCCGTCTGGGGCCAACACCAGCCCAGCAAGTCTCCACAGCACCTCCTTCCATGATGCGAGCTTTGTTCACCTAGTTTCCTCTCTGAGGATACTGTGTTCCAGGGTCCGGACTTCAGGCCAGAATCTCCAAGTCTCCATGTCCATTTCTGTGGGCCCAAGATTGGCCCCGAGTCCCCTCCACCGGGGCTCGCCCAGCCTGGCCCTGGACGGGAGAGCAGACGCCAGCCCACCTCTCAGGGCTGCGCCACCATCCTTCCTGGCATCCAAGCACTCCCCTCGCTTCCCAGCAATACCACTACCCACTACACACTGAAGACTTTTTTTTTAATATAAAACTATTTTCTTTAATTTTTCCTAACACCTTTTTCATGCTAGTAAAAGCTTTTCGTCATTTAAAAAACATGAAATGCAGAGCCTAGAATAGCTAAAACAATCTTGAAAAAGAAGAACAAAGTGGGAGGAATCACTCTCTCTGACTTTCAGACTTACTATGAAGCTGCGGTAATCACGGCAGTGTGGTTTGAGGGAGCGGTAGGCACATAGATCAATGGAACCGAATGGAGAAGCCGGAAATAGAAGCCCCCACACACATATGCCCCAGGGGGTTTTAAAAAAAGGCACAAGAAAAATTCCATGGAGGAAGGACCTTGCTGACAAATGGTGCCAGAACAACTGGACTCTGTAGACAAAAAGCAAGCCTCAACCCAAACCCCACACCTTATACAAAAGCTAACAAGATGGATATGAAACTCTAAGACTTTTAGAATGGGGAAAAAAAACACAACACCATCACCACCACCAACAACAACAACAACAACAAAAAAAAAGCAGAAGAAAACCCTCAGGATCTAGGCTGGATGAACAGTTTTTAGACTTGACACCAAGAGCCACGTCCAGAAAAGGACATGCTGGACCTCGACAGAAGTTAGAACTTGTGATGTGAGAAAGATTCTGTGAGGAGGGTCAGGGGCCAAGCTACGGACTGGGAGAAATCTCTGCAAACCGCACGTCTAACAGAGGAATCATATCCAGAATATGCAAATAACTCTCAAAACTCAAGAGTAAAGAGAAAAATCCAGTAGAAAATGGTCAAAGGCACAAAGGGGCATTCCACTGGAGGGGACGTCCAGGTGACCCGGGAGCCCGTGAAATGATGCTCGACCTCGCAGGCGCCAGGGAAACGCCACCACGAGACGCTGCCGCGTAGCTGTCAGAGGGATGAGATTTTAAAAATGCAAGGATAACATCCGATGCTGGGGAGGGTGTGGAGAAGCTGGATCACTGATACACTGCTGGTGGGAATGTATAATGGGAAAGCCACGCTCAAAACGGAATTTTCATTCTGTGTGACAGTAAGTATACACAGTCACATGACCCAGCAGTGACACTCTCAGAGAAGGAAAACTTAACAGCCACACAGAAACCTGCCCATCAATGTTCAAAGACACTTTAGTCATAGTAGTTCCAAACTGAAGACAACCCAAATGCCCTTCGGGGGGGTGAATGGTTAAACAAAGTATGAGTACCTGGCTCCATACTGTGGAGTACTTGGCTGCAATGCAAACGTACAAATTACTGATGCGTGCAACAGCCTGGGTGGATCTCCAGGGATTTAGGCTGAGTCAAAAGTGAAAATCCCAGAGGGTTACATACTTATGATTCTACATACATGTAAAGCATTCTTGAAATGCCACAATTGGAGATGAAGACCAGGTTAGTGGTTGCCAGGGAAGAGGGAGGGAGGGAGGTGGGCTTGGTCCTAAAAGAGCAGCACAGGAGATCATGGTTGGACTGTCCTGTGTCTTCCCCATGTGTGGTCACAGGAATCTACACATGTGATGGGACCACACAGAAGTAAGCACAGCCTCGCACACAAAGGAGTGCAAGAGAAACCCGTGACGTCTGAATCCCACTGATACTGTATATTTTCTATGGAAAGCCATCGTAAAGCAGCTGGGAGGTGAGACCTTTCGTTCTTCCAACCCTCCATTCCACTCTCTTCTCATCTCTCCTGTGGACGTTTGAACGAGAATTTCCTATGATTTTGAAAGAGGTTGCCATTGGGAGAAACCAGGTGATGGGCACATGGGATCCATCTGCATTATTTCTTACAACTGCTACGAGTCTGTGATTATCTCAGAAGGACATGTTAAAAGACAAACACAAAATGTCACCCGGAAGAGTGTCATTATTGACTTTTTGTGTACTTCTCTCCCTCTCTAGAAGATGGATGAATATTTTAAAACTAAACAAAGGCATGTTGCACAGACTATTTTGGAACTGTGGCGTTACGGCACCCTGCACCGACCCGGTGCACTGTGCCGGACTCACCTGTGGCTTCCTGCTGGCCTCGCTGCGGGCAGTGCTGCAGGTGGACCTTGCAGCACAGGACGGCTCATCCTTCGGATGAAGTGCTGTTTTATTTTTGTCCGAGTGTCTGTTCTCAGGGAGGAGTGGGCTCCACAGAAGCAGAGTCTCAAGTAAAGAAGGCACATAGTGGGGCGTGCAGGAATGGCCTGCTCGTGGGGATTTGGGACTTTTTGTCACGTGTGTTGTGCAGACTCATGGTCCCGCAGTGTGGATGAGGCCCTCGGCAGGTGCCCGCTCTGATGAACCGGCCTCAAATGGGTCCCCGCGGCCCCATTTCCAATATCTACCTGGAGGCTCTGGAGAGACAGACACAGAGGGAAAAACAAAACATAGAATTAGCAGGAAATGTATAGTTTCTTTAAACAAAATATGGATCACTTCTCCAATCGGGCACCAGGAACAGGGAAGCCACGCTGTGTCCCTTCTCCCATGACTAACTCGGGAACACAGAGCCCCCCAGCCTGGGGTGTGGGACGGTCACACTGAGGCCACCACATGCTTCCCAGGCTCCCTGGGAAATTCTCGCTCAAACGTCCACAGGAGAAATGAGAAGAGAGTGGGATGGAGGGTTGGAAGAACGAAAGGTCTCACCTCCCAGCTGCTTTACAATGGCTTTCCATAGAAAACATACACTTTTTAATAACTTAAAACTTGCTTATATTCATCACATAATCATTATTTCAGACTTTATCAAAGTAAACTGATTTTTAAATGAAATTAAGAATAAAATAGGATATTTTTGCAAGCAAATGGTTGCCCATCTCTATGATCTTTCTGAGGCATTGAAAGCAAGGAATCTGGGTCACAATCATGGAAACACAGCAGAAAGCCCCTCTGCCATCAGACTCAACAAACCTGAGTCTTATTCCTTAACCCGAACTCGACTGTTCTCAGTCAATGCTCAAAACAGTGTTCTGACGTCCTATTATCGCATTTACAGACATGGGAATGGGCAGAAAACTAACTGGGACAGAAGACAAGAGAGGAGCAAAGCAGTTTGCTTGGAGGACAGTGGACAGCTGGGTTCTCCAACTTCCAGGGACTTCTTTCGTGGGCTTGAGTGTGCAGCTGGGGGGCCTCTGAATTGGTTCTGCCAGTGGGAAATAAAGAGGGGGGCTCCAGGCCACCAAACCTGGGACTCTCCCGGCGGGGAGGAAGGATCTGTGCTCTGTCAGCAGAGTGGCTCAGTGGGCGTTTTCTCAGTTCTCGTGCCAGACCAGAATTGCAGGAGCCGGTGGCCGCTGTCCACACGGAGTTCCCGTGAGGTGCAAGTCCCTGAGGCCCACGGACACGCCAGCAGAGAGCCCACACCCCAGACCGGGACCCCAGGGGACTGGCATCCAAGGATCTGCAGTCAGGCCCATGGGAGCAGAGACTAAACCCTGAGCTTTGAAGACTCATCCCGCAGCTCTCTTGGCGTCAGACACGGGCTGCAGGGCTGTCGGGACGGCGCGCAGTGACTGGGGGAGGTGGAGGTGCCATCGGTGACGCAGCAGAAAGGAGCCAGGTGCATACGCAGAGTGTCTGGCACCTCTCCCTGCCTCAGCCCCCATCCCCGCCCACAGACGCACAGGCCCCCACCGGACACCACGGGAGTGGCCAGGTTTCCATATCCAACGTGGGAAATTCCCCTGAGCATTCTGTCCCAGTGAGTGTGACATCAGACCCCCCCCCCAAATTTACCTGTATGTTGCCCCCCCCACTTTGCTTTAAATTCCAGGAAAATAGCACATGACGCGAGGCCGCCCACTCTCAGAGGCTGCCGTTCCAGTTACTGGCCCGCGCTGTGCTACCTGTCTTTCTGTTTCTTTTCCTCCCCTTTTCCATTGTTTGAAATAATTTAACCTTCTGCTCTTAGTGCTCGTCTTCCCGAAAAGCCCCCTACCAACCAATGGCAGCAGCATGTCATCCTTCTGTCTGCACTGCAACGCTTGTGATCTATTACCTTGGAGGGGTTATCTGTCCGCCACTGTCACCTCCTCACAGGGAGGACGGCCCTAGGGGGGCCACCCTGGAGCTGCCGGACCGCCTGGGGGAGCCCCTGCTCCACCCACCCCCGGCCAGTTTGCACCTGCTCCCCTCCCAGCTCAGCTAAGCGCTCTCTCACACGAAGGAACCTTCTATCCCCACGGCGCTCACTCACCTCCTGGAAGTCTGGTGCCTCCTCGGTCCCCAGGCTCTGATTTTGCAAACGCACCGGGTGTAATTCCGTCCCTAGTGGCCACACGGTCACCCTCTACCTCCGGGAGGATGACGATGAAGAGGCAGTGGTCTCAGAGTTGCTGGGGACTGCGTTCGTTCAGTGCAGATTCCTGGGCCGGGTCCCCACGCCGGTCCCACGGCTGCAGCAGGTCCCGTGGGGCGTGGAGCCAGCGTCCAGGGAGGTGGTCAGCTGGACGGTGAGTCCCACAGAGCACCTCTGGCCTAAGCCACGGTGACCGGCCCTTGTCTGTTTACGTCACTAACAAGAATGTTTTCTCACCTGCCGCTTACTGAATTGTCATCCGTAAATATTCGCCGGGAGCCTGTTGTGGACCAAGCAAGGCAGCATGGAAAGGTCGTAATCAAGGCCACGGAGGCCACGCTGGCCCTGGGGACAGTCACGTTGGCACCACACATGTTGACACAAACTTTGGGCGGGCTCGGTGTGCAGGGTGGACCCCGGGCTCAGCAGTCAGCCGGGACGGGCTAACCCTGAAGCCTCCCCTGGCCGGCTGAGAAGCTGGGCGGCGGTTAACCTCCCCGAGCCGAGGTGTGCACCTGTGTGAAATGGGCATTATGACACATCTGCCTCGAGGGGTTACTGCGATGACGATGTCGTGAGGCAGGAGTCACAGGGCACTTGGCAGTGTGACTCGCATCGGCCGATGGGATGTCCTCAGCTTTGCAGCACAGATGGGGCTAGAGGCCCAAGAAGCTCTAAGTCACAGAGTCCTTTCTGCAGGACCCGGGTGCCTTATGGCGCCCGGCATTCGCCAGGCAGAGCGCAGCCGCTCGGTGAGCTCCCAGGCCCCGGTGCGCTCTGAGGTCCCAGCGAGCTCTGAGGCGAGGTCTTGGTGAGCTCTGACACCCAGGTGAGCTCTGAGGTCCGGTGAGCTCTGAGGTCCTGGTGAGCACTGAGGCGAGATCCCAGTGAGCTCTGAGGACCCGGTGTGCTCTGAGGTCCCAGGTGTGCTCTGAGGGCCTGGATGTGCTCTGAGCTGAGGTCCCAGATGTGCTCTGAGGTGAAGTCCAGATGTGCTCTGAGGTGAAGTCCAGGTGTGCTCTGAGGTGAAGTCCAGGTGTGCTCTGAGGTCCCAGGTGTGCTCTGAGGTCCCGGATGTGGTCTGAGGTAAAGTCCAGGTGCGCTCTGAGGGCCCCAATGCGCTCTAAGGTGAGGCCCCGGATGTGCTCTGAGGTGAAGTCCAGGTGCGCTCTAAGGGCCCAGATGTGCGCTGAGGTGAAGTCCAGGTGCGCTCTGAGGTGAGGTCCCGGATGTGCTCTGAGGCGAAGTCCAGGCGTGCTCTGAGGCGAGGGCCCGGATGTGCTCTGAGGCGAAGTCCAGGCGCGCTCTGAGGCGAGGGCCGGATGTGTGGCTGAGCGAAGTCCAGGCGCGCTCTGAGGCGAGGGCCCGGATGTGCTCTGAGCGAAGTCCAGGCGCGCTCTGAGGCGAGGGCCCGATGTGCTCTGAGGTGAAGTCCAGGCGCGCTCTGAGGCGAGGCCGGATGTGCGCTGAGCCTTTGCGATCGTGCTGGAGGCCGTGATGCCCAGGAGACCTCACACCCAGAGCACAGACAATTTCTAGAAGGGCGCAGGGACTCCCCCTGCGCTGGCTGGCGCGCCCGGCTGCCGTCGCACCACCGCGGCACTGCGGGCGCCGCGGCAAGGGCGGAGCCGCGTCGCCCGCTTCTCTGGCGTTCCCGTCTCCGACGCTGCCTCACACGGTCTCCGCCACGCGCGCGGCGCCTGCGGAGCCAAGCGCGCTCTGCTCTCGGGAATCTCCGCGCGAGGGCTGCTCACGACAAGGTAAACCCTCCCTCCGCCCCCAACCGGCCGACGCTGCGTCCACACGCTGGGCGAAGCAGAGGGCGGGGCCGGGTCCCCGCGGCGAGGTCCGGCTGCTCCACGAGTCTGCGGGGCGGACAGCAGCGGGCTGCTCCTCCAGTGCGGCTCGGGGGGCGGCTCTGCCAAGGCGGCGTGGACATCAAGCACGCGCGCGCCAGAGTCGCGAACGGGCGTGCTCCAGGGTTCAGAGGTCAAGTTCAGAGTCGGAGTGCGGGCGCTCCCTCTGAGGCGGTAGGGCTCGCCAGGGGGGTCCCTCCCCTCCTGCACACGGCCCCCCCACCACGTGTCTTTCGGGATCCAGCGTCTCTCACGCTGGGATCCTTAGTCACATCTGCAAAGATCTCCTTTGCAAAGAGGGTCACAGGCGCAGGTTCGAGTTGAACTTACCTTTTGAGGGCGGCCACCACTCCTGGGGCTCCTTCTCCACTCTGAGCCTTGGTTTCACATTCAAGAATGATCGGCTGGAGGACACTCCTGGGGAGCTCACGGTTTACAGCACATGTCATAAGCTAGAACATTCTGCCCCCCACCTGGGAGCTGCTTAGGAGCCAGCCTCCTCAGCAGCCCGGGTGGAATCGATTTTATTTATTTTATTTTGAGACAGAGTCTCAGTCTGTTGCCCGGCTAGATGCCGTGGCGTCAGCCTAGCTCACAGCAACCTCAAACTCCTGGGCTTAAGCGATCTCCCGCCTCAGCTCCCGGAAGTAGCTGGGACTACAGGCATGCCACCATGCCTGGCTAATTTTTCATATATTTTAGTTTGCCAATTAATTTCTTTCATTTTAGTAGAGATGGGGTCTCACTCTTGCTTAGGTGGTCTCGAATCCTGGAGCTCAACGATCCTCCAGCCCAGCCTCCAGAGTGGTAGGATTACGGTAGAGCCACGCGCCGGCCAGAATCGGATTTAAACCCAGTTTTAAACACGTTGCAGGTGCGAGGCCCCTGCCCCAGGGCGGCTGCCTGGACTTGCTGAGCACCAAGCAAAGCCACCTGCCACTGGACAGTTCCACGCCAGACTCGAGTATCATCTCGGAGTCTCAACCTGTCCACTGACCCAAGCACGAACTCACAGAATGATTTTTCACACTGCAATTTTCATTTTTTTGTGGTCACAAACTCAATACTTTTAACATTCGTTGAAAGGAATTTCTCTGAGTTACCACATTTATAAGGCTCAAAAACAAAAGTGATGCTTTCATTCTTATTAATACTCTCCAACGTGGAAATACTTCTCAGTAATGGTGCTATTGCCTGGCATTAGGTTTCTTCCCCAGGGATGTTATTCCGAGGAAGGAAACTTAATCCCTGACGAATGCTGGGTTGTCACTGTCGCAGGTGACAGGCATGTGCTCCGTGGCCCAGGCGCACCTGGGAAAGGTGACTTTCTTAGAGGCCTGGTAATTGGACCTCACACTCAAAGCCGTCATCTGTGCAGACTGCTTAATAAGAAGTTTACGATAATCAGTCTTATATTTAACTTCCAGCCACTGCCATCATTCACGTGCTTATCGAGCCTCATGCTATTTAAGCACCTGTTCCTGTGGACGTTATACCATTCCATAATGAAGGGCTGAGATTTTTCACTACCTCCATTATTGTCTCTTGATAAAATGCCCAGCCTTTATTCTCCTCCTCAAAGGGACATAATTTAAATAGAATAATGAAAACACTTCCAGAAACGTAACCCAATAATGCTTTCCGAATGCAAACCTGCTTAATGTGAAACCTTGGAAGCGGCAAACAAAGAATGAATGTTAGCAAATTGCGCTTCTCGCTGGGCATGTGATGAAATCGTCCCGTGCCGCAGCAGCCCGTGGCAGGAGGGCTGGTGGAGACCAGGGGAGGCGGTTTCCAGCCCAGCCCGTGGGGGTGAGCCCGGGACGGCGCCGCCCTGGCAGGCTTCTCCAAAGAGAGTGGCGGTGACGGTCGGATGGTGCCTCTGGAGACGGGCTAACCCTGAAGCCTCCCCTGGCCGGCTGAGAAGCTGGGCGGCGGTTAACCTCCCCGAGCCGAGGTGTGCACCTGTGTGAAACGGGCATTATGACACATCTGCCTCGCGGGGTTACTGTGATGACGATGTCGTGAGGCAGGAGACACAGGGCACTTGGCAGTGTGACTCCCATGGGTCAATGGGATGTCCTCAGCTTTGCAGCACAGATGGGGCCCTAGAAGCTCTAAGTCACAGGGTCCTTTCTGCAGGACCCGGGTGCCTTACGGTGCCCGGCATTTGCCAGGTAGAGCTCTGAGGCGAGGTCCCAGTGAGCTCTGAGGCGAGGTCCCAGTGAGCTCTGAGGTCCCGATGAGCTCTGACATCCGGGTGAGCTCTGAGGCCCTAGTGAGCTCTGAGGTCCCCATGAGCTCTGAGGTCCTGGTGAGCTCTGAGGCGAGATCTCAGTGAGCTCTGAGGTCCCTGTGAGCTCTGAGGTCCTGGTGAGCTCTGACGTCCCAGGTGTGCTCTGAGGGCCTAGATGTGCTCTGAGCTGAGGTCCCAGATGTGCTCTGAGGTGAAGTCCAGGTGTGCTCTGAGGTAAAGTCCAGGTGCGCTCTGAGGGCCCGGACGCGCTCTGAGGTGAGGGTCCAGATGTGCTCTGAGGTGAAGTCCAGGTGCGCTCTGAGGGCCCCAATGCGCTCTAAGGTGAGGCCCCGGATGTGCTCTGAGGTGAAGTCCAGGTGCGCTCTGAGGCGAGGGCCCGGATGTGCTCTGAGGTGAAGTCCAGGTGCGCTCTGAGGCGAGGGCCCGGATGTGCTCTGAGGTGAAGTCCAGGCGCGCTCTGAGGCGAGGGCCCGGATGTGCTCTGAGGTGAAGTCCAGGCGCGCTCTGAGGCGAGGGCCCGGATGTGCTCTGAGGTGAAGTCCAGGCGCGCTCTGAGGCGAGGGCCCGGATGTGCTCTGAGGTGAAGTCCAGGCGCGCTCTGAGGCGAGGGCCCGGATGTGCGCTGAGCCCTTTGCGATCGTGGCTGGAGGCCGGGATGCCCAGGAGACCTCACACCCCAGAGCCACAGACAATTTCTAGAAGGGCGCAGGGACCTCCCCTGCTGCGGCTGGCGGCGCCCCGGCCTGCCGTCCGCACCACCGCGCACTGCGGGCGCCGGCGGCAAGGGCGGAGCCGCTGTCGCCTCGCTTCTGCGCGTTCCCGTCTCCGACGCTGCCCTCCACACGGTTCCGCCACGCGGCGCGGCGCTGCGGAGCCAAGGCGCGCTCTCAGGCCCTCCACACGGTTGGAGCCAAGGCGCGCTCTGCTCTCGGGAATCTCCGCGCGAGGCTGCTCACGAGCAAAGGTAAACGCTCCCCTCCGGCCCCCACAGGGCCCAGCCGACCCGACTGCTGGCGTCCACACCGCTGGGCGAAGCGGAGGGCGGGGCCGGGTCCCCGCGGACGAAGGCTCCCGGCTGCTCCCGCACGGAGTCGTGCGGCGGCGGGACAGGCAGCGGGCCCTGCTCCTCCAGTGCGGCTCTGGCGGCGGCTCTGCCAAGGCGGTGTGGACATCACAGCCACCTGCGTGCGCCAGAGTCGGCGCACGGGCGTGCTCCAGGGTTCAGAGGTCAAGTTCAGAGTCGGAGTGCGGGGCGCTCCCTCTGAGGCTGTGGGGGGCTCGCCAGGGGGGTCCCTCCTCCTCCTGCACACGGCCCCCACCACGTGTCTTTCGGGGATCCAGCGTCATCTCACGCTGGGATCCTTAGTCACATCTGCAAAGATCTCCTCTGCAAAGAGGGTCACAGGCGCAGGTTCGAGTTGAACTTACCTTTTGAGGGGGCGGCCACCACTCCTGGGGGGCTCCTTCTCCGCTCTGAGCCTTGGTTTCCACATTTCAAGAATGGGATGGCTGGAGGACACTCCTGGGGGAGCTCACGGGTTTACAAGCAACATTGTTCATAAGCCCTAGAACATTCTGCCCCCCACCTGGGAGCTGCTTAGGAGCCCAGCCTCTCAGCCAGCACCCCCGGGTGGAATCGGATTTTATTTTATTTTATTTTTTGAGACAGAGTCTCAGTCTGTTGCCCGGGCTAGAGTGCCGTGGCGTCAGCCTAGCTCACAGCAACCTCAAACTCCTGGGCTTAAGCGATCCTCCCGCCTCAGCCTCCCGAGTAGCTGGGACTACAGGCATGCGCCACCATGCCTGGCTAATTTTTTCTATATATTTTTAGTTTGCCAATTAATTTCTTTCTATTTTTAGTAGAGATGGGGTCTCACTCTTGCTTAGGCTGGTCTCGAACTCCTGAGCTCAAACGATCCTCCAGCCTCGGCCTCCCAGAGTGGTAGGATTACAGGTAAGAGCCACCGCGCCCGGCCCAGAATCGGATTTTAAACCACAGATTTTAAACATGGTCTGCAGGTGCAAGGCCCCTGCCCCAGGGCGGCTGCCTGGGACCTGCTGAGCACCAGACAAAGCCACCTGCCACTGGGACAGTTCCACGCCAGACTCGAGTCATCATCTCGGAGTCTCAACCTGTCCACTGACCCAGCACGAAGCTC